CGGAAATAAACCCTTGTATTTATTATGGTCAATTGATTTTTGACGATGGTGTACAGATGATTTAGTGAGTAAAGAATCTTTTCAACAGATGGTGCTGGGACAACTTGACATCCACATGCAAAAGAATGAAATTGTATCTGTACCTCACACCATATATAAACATTAACTCAAAATGGACCAAAGACCTAAATGCTAGAGCTAAAACTATAAACGTCTTAGAAGAAAACATAAGAGTTATCTTTGTGTCCTTGGATTAGACAGTGGTTTCTTAGGTAAGACACCAAAAGCATAAGTAACAAAAGAAAAAGTAAATAAATTAGACTTCATCAAAATAAAAAACGTCTGTGTTTCAAAGGACATCATCACAAAAGTTAAAGACAACTCAGAGAATGAGAGAAAATATTTGCAATTCAAATATCCAATAAAAAACTTGCATCTAGAATAGCTATAATAAAAAACAGATAGCCTGATTTTTATCAAAACAACAATGAAACACCATCCTCCACCAGCACTAATAGCAAAGTTCAACAAGACAGAAAATAACAAATGCTGGTGAGAATGTGGCAAGATTGGGACTCTCATACGCTGCTGGTGGGAATGTAAAATGACACAGCCACTGTGGGAAGCAGTATGGCAATTCCTTAAAAAGTTGGAATTAAAATACCATTTTATCTAGCAATCCATTAGTAGGTATGTATTCTAAAGAAGTGAGAGCCAGGACAAGAACAGATAGATGCACACCCATGTTCATCACAGCACTATTTACAATAGCAAAAAGATGACAACAACCTAGGTGCCCATCAACAGAAGAATGAATAAGCAAACTACGGTACATACATACAATGGAATACTATGGAACACTAAACAATAATGTAGAATCTACAAAGCACCACATAACATAGATGAACTTGGATGACATTGTTGTTGTTGTTGTTGTTATGTGCCATCGAGTCGGCCCCGACTCATAGCGACCCCTCCTTGGGTTTCCGAGGCAGTATCACTACGGAAGTAGGATTGCCCAACCTTCCTTCCGAGGAGTGGCTGGTGGGTTTGAACCGCCAGCCTTCTGGTTAGCAATCAAGTGCTTTAGCCACTATGCTACCAGAGCTCCTTGGATGACATTATACTGAGTGAAATAAGTCAGTCACAGAAGGACAAATACTGTATTAGTTCATTATTGTAAAAAGTCAAGGAAAGGTTTATATATGGAAGGAAACTTTCTTTATTGGCTACCAGGGGTGGCAGGAAAGGGGTGGGAACACTGTTAGATAGGTAAAAACCAGTATTGACTGGGTGAAGGGAAGGGCAATGTACCAAATGTGAGTGATCAACACAATGGCATTGAGGAAAAAGACATAGGACATACATACGTAGGACATACATACATGGGAGGTGCAAACAACAAAGATGAACCCTTTTGCACATACAGTACTGGATTGTCAGTGACAGCAAACATTGATCTATGGATGGATAGAAGGGGGGACAGGCTGAACAATCAGGTTTGTCTGTGCAGGGGGGAGTGTTCCCAAGACCATGTAAAGGGTTCACAGACAATGTTTCTACAAGCATATTTTTATGTGCTCTAAGAATGTCCAGGTATATAATAGAGCTGACAAGGGACAAGGTTGTGGTGACTTCTTGACCATAGCCAGCTACCCAGAGGGAGTGAGTAGTTGGACCTGTGGGCTTGGGACCATGGTCACAGGGGACATCAAGCTCATTGGCATAACATACTATACAAAAACATTGTTCCACATCCTACTTTGGTGAGTAGCAGCTGGGATCTTAAAAGCTTGCAAGTAGCAACAATGGGTCTCTCCTCATCCACAGCAAAGAAGAATGAAGAAAACCAAACACACGTGGAAACAATTAGTCCAAGGAACTGGTACACCATGCAATCCTCAGCCTATATGACCATGAGACCACAACTAGATGGTGCCTAGCTGCCACTGTTAGCCACTCAGAGGGGAATCTGTGTAGGAGATCCTGGGTAGAGTGAGAAAACAATGTAGAACAAAACTCAAAATCATTTAAAAAAAAAAAAAAAAAAGAGCAGGTTTGCTGGTCTAATAGAGCCTGGTGGAACCCCTGAGACTATGCCCCTAGCTGCCCTTCAGGTCTGGAATTGAAGTCACTCCTGTGGCTTCCAGCCAAATAATAGACAGGCATATGGGCTGAACATTTACATCTACTGCTAGGTAGATACACTCCTTGGAGAGATCAATCATGGGAGAACAGAAAGTCAGTTATTCACAGGGAGAGAGCTCGGGGGGCAGGAGCACATAAGAGAGAAGGATACAGGAAGGAGGTAACTATGGGGAGGAAGTGTAAAGAGAGCTGTTACATTGTGGAAAATTGCAGTCAGTGTCATGAGACAAAATGTGTATGATCAGTTGTATGGAAAATTAATTTGCTCTAAACTTTGACCCAAATCACAATAAAAAATTTTTGAAAAAAAGACAAATAACCTGATTTTTAAAGTAAGCAAGGGATTCAAGTAGACATTCACTAAAGAAGATAATAAATGACCAATAAACACATGAAAAGATGCTCAAAATATTTATTCATTGTTGTTGTTTTGTTAGGTACCATCTAAGTGGCTTTGATTCATAGTGACTCTATGTATAACAGAACAAAATGTTGCCTATTCCTGCACTGTCCTCATAATCTTTGCTCTGATTGAGCCCATTGTTGGTGCCACTGTGTCAAATCCATCTCATTGAGGGTCTTCCTCTTTTTCACTGACTTTTTATGTTACCAAACATGATGTCCTTCTCCAGGGATTGGTCCCTTCTGATAACATATCCAAAGTAAGTGAGACAGAATCTCACCATCCTTGCTTCTAAGGAGCATTCTGGCTGTACTTCCTCCAAGACAGATTTGTTTCTTCTTCTGACAGTCCATGGTGCAATATTCTTTGCCAACACCATAATTCAAATGTGTCATTTCTTCTTTGGTGTTTCTTTTTCATTGTCCAACTTTCGCATGCAATTAAAAATGCCATGGCTTGGGTCAGATGCACTTTAGCCATCAAAATGACATCTTTACTTTTTAACATTTGAAAGAGGTCTTTTGCAGCAGATTTGCCCAATGCAATACATTGTCTAATTTCTTGACTGCTACTTTCATCACAAAATGTAGTAGCAGTCAAGAAATTAAACAATGTATTGCAGTGGGCACTTGATGGTGTCCCACAGGTCTCTGAGGCTCTGTTCATTTTTCTTCATGCATTTTGTTTCTGTTCCTCTGACTGGAGAATCTCACTAGACCGATCTTCAAATTCACTGATTCTTTCTTCTATTTCAAATCTGCTATTGAACCCCTCAGTAAATTTGTCATTTCACCTTTTGTACTTTTCATATCCAGAATTTCTATTTGATCCTTTTTAATAATTTCTGTGTCTTTAATGATATACTCTCCATTTAGTGAGACATTGTTTTTCATATGTTTTATTATTTAGGTATGGTTTCCTTTAGCTCTTTGAGCATATTTATAATAGTTGATTTAGCATCTTTTCCTACTATGTCCAGCATTTGGAGTTTTTCAGGGAAAGTATTGATTGAGTTTTTCCACCATGTTTTTGCCATTCTTCCCTGTTTCTTTTTATGTTTTAGTAATATTTTGTTGAAAACTGGGTATTATAAATAATATAGTGTGGCAACTCTGGAAAATCAACCCCCACCTCCACTTCCCCAGTGTTTGTTGTTGCCCTTTGTTGTTTTTACTTTTTATTTAGTATCTTCCATGACATTAATTAATGTTCTTTGTCATGTGCAGCCACTGTTAGCTTAATGCTCAGCTAATGACTGGACAGAGAGTTTCTTAGATGTCTGAATAATCAGTAAGTCTCCCTTTTACACTTTGTAAAGGGGCTCTGTGTCTGTGTTAGGACTCAAATATTCTGGCATTTTGTAACTCTGCCTTAGCCTTCACCTCCTTCTTGTACAGAATCTCAAAGTCAAGCAGAGGTGAGATATTAGGGATTCTCAGATCATTCCTGGGAAAGTGTACAACCCTGTACACATGTGTAACCTTCTAGAACTCAGAAATATGTCAAAGCTTATCAAAACCCCCCATGAACATCTAATTTCTTTGTAAGTTTTTTGGCCAGCCACTTGTTTGCCCCAACTGATATGATTGCTTTGTGAAGCTGGAATGTTAAACAATTTTAGCTGATTGAAAAAAAAAAAAAAATGTCCTAGGAATAGGGCTTTCCTCAGTAAAGACAAGCCCTGTGAATGGGGCTTTTCTAGCAAACTTCCAAACAGATTAAATAGTGCAGTTCTCTAGCTATGGAACTTTTTTGGGAGCTCCAAAATCATTCTGTCTTCTCTAGTGGATGCTTGGCTGATGGTTTTTACAGCTACCATATTTTTGCAGCTGCTGGTTTTCAAGGCTGTTGTGGAGCTAGGGCAAGAAGAGATGGGAATAAGGACTGTTAAATTGCAAGAAAAGCTTGCTATTCTTACTGAGATCCAACTATTTTTCTAGAATAAAAGCTCCTCAGATTTGTGTAATTAAGCCTTTGGTTAACTTCCAGAGCTTTGACAGCTTTCCCAGTGTTCTCATTGCTTTTATGGAGAAGTGGGTTTGCAGAGTTCCTTATTCCACCATTATCAAAATGTTTCTCCTGCTATAATATATTCTTAATATCTAAGAAACAATGACTGTGATCCAGCACTCAGGGAACATATCTCAGAGAATGAGACTTGTAGACTTAGTTGGACACTGGTTATCTGGCATTCCCTGGGCTCTGGGCACTGGTCCAGGTGGGTACAGAGCTGCCTCTGTTCTACCCTATTTGAGGTTGTTTCTGTTGGCCTGTGAGAGTGTCCAGATACTGCTCTCATGTAGCCCTCTAAGAGAAAAGCAACTCAAATAAGGAGCCAGAATATAATCCGCAGGTCCCAGCCATTTCACTGTCTAGAGACCAGAAAGGAAGTGCATGTTGCAGTGGCAGTGGTGGTGATATCTCATGTCACCTTATCCTCTTGTATTAGGAGTTCCTGCTGAAGATTTTCTGTGTGTTCCGGAACTTGATGAAGATGAGTGTCTTCCCTCGGGACTGGATGGTGATGAGACTGCTCACAAGCAAGTGAGTATGGAAGAACACTTCCCTACATCCACAGAGTATTCTAAGACCAGGGAGAGTATGTGTATGAGTGTGACAGAGAGAGAGAAGAAAGAAAAAAAATCAGAGATGAGGGCTAAGACCATGAGTTCAGAGAAGAGAAGATGGATGTGAAAAATGTTTAGAGGCACAAGTAGCAAAACTTGGCCCTTGGCCATAGGTACAAGGAGAGGAAAGAGTTAAAGATTATTCAGAAATGGAGCCTAAGTGCTTGGCAGATTGTGGTGTTCATAGTAAGAATAGAAATGGAAACATTAAGGATGTAAAATATAATAATACCCAAAGGAGACTTCCTTGAGGAAGGCCTGCTCAGTGCCCAATTGACCTCTGTTCTCTATAACTTTAGTCAATGTCCCAAGCCCTCTCAACTTGATTTGTGTTGTCACTGGACAGTGCTTACCACCCACCATTAGTGCTAATTACCTACCAAAGACCTAGCTGTGGAGCTCTGGCCACAGGATTCACTGGAAGGACTAACCCCAGCCTGCCCCACTCATATTCCCAGCCTGTGCTACCTCTTAGCAAACTAAACAAGTGATGCAGATGGTAGAGGGCTGCCTTATCTGGTCTCCCTCTGCTCAAGAGATGGCCACTTGACCTCTACTTTCTAGTCACCTACCTCCACCCACTGATCTGTCTTTTAAGTTGGCATCGTACAGAAGTTGTCAAGTTATTTACCATAAACACAGTACCAGGATAGTCTTTCCACTTTGTACATTTTATAGCGTGCTCTATTTTTTTTTAAAACGGCAAACATTTTATACAGAAGAATGGTTATAAACAAAGTTGCATGGATATTTCATCAAATAATGTATTCTCCATTTGAATCCCTCTTACTTCTCTCTCTTCACTCTATGTAGAACACTTCAGCCTATGCTGCAGGAACAGCCTTTTTCAAAATTTTCATCCTTTAAATTTGTTACACCTCTGCTGCTGAACTAGTCACTCTAATGCACTATTTTTCCTGTCCTCCTTCAGCACCAAAGCCCTGGTGGCCACTGTTTCACATAACCCCTTTGCCGGGCAGCCAAGTTCATCTATAATCAAGCTCTTACCTGCCTGCTCCACTTCACTTCCTCTCCACCCTAGCCCATTCCCTGGGTTCTAGCAGTTCAGTATTTTTATGTCCCTTATATGTCATTGCCGTTGAGTCAGTTTGACTCATAGCAACCCCTCCTTGGGTTTCCAAGGCAGTATCTCTATGGAAGTAGATAGCCCAACCTTCCTTCTGAGGAGTAGCTGGGGGTTTGAACCACCAGCCTTCTGGTTAGCAGTCAAATGCCTTGGGCACTACACCACCAGAGCTCCTTTTCATTTTCTTTTGGTGGCATGGTGGCTAAGGCACTTGACTGCTAACCACAAGGCTGGTGGTTCAAACCCACCAGCCACTCCTCGGAAGGAAGATGGGGCAATCTACTTCTGTGGTGACACTGCCTCGGAAACCCAAGGAGGGGTCACAATGAGTCGGGTCCGACTCTATGGCACATAACAACAACAACAACATATGTTCCAGGGTGGTATTCTAGATCAAAGGCTGAAATCAGATGACTCATGGATGAAAGTAATGGCGTACCATAAAATCAGAGATTTAATAACTATAAATCCCTGTTACGCTCTGAGTCCCACCTGGTAGTCATAATATGTGTTAATTACACTAAAGTTCCAAAAGTACTAGAATCACGAATCACTCTTGGAACTGGAAGACACCTTAGAGAACTAACAAACCCCACCCCCTTAATGAGTTTATGTTGAGGGTAATGAAAAAAATTAGAAACAGGTAATGGTGATAATTGCTCAACGTAGTGATCATAATTAACGTCACTGAATTGTACCGCTAAAAATGGTTGAAATTGAATGTTTTGTTATATATATTTCACCATAGTAAAATTTAAAAAAAAATACTTTCCCTGTATAGGCAGGGGAACTGAGGTACAGAGAAAAGAAGTACTGAGCCCAGATAATAGGTGGCCAAGTTAAGTCTTGAACCCCCTGACACCCTATGATATCCCACCAATTATGGGACATTCCTCTGAGACTGGTTTTCTGTAGGGTTCATGCCATCAATATCTTTCCTTTATAGTCACAACTTACATGGAAGCAAACTGTAATTGAGAAGTTTGCACACAAGCCATAGACAACTGATGATAAGCTGTCAGATGCCATTATGTGTCTTTTAACTCTGCCAATGCCTTGTTTCCTTACTGCAGCATTATAGTCACTACTGTCCAGTACCTGTCCTCAGCACTGCACAAGAATTTCACAGAGACAGACTTCGACTTTAAGGTAGGAATCCCATAAATCAGACACTAGCTTTGTTATAACCCTAGAAAACCCAAATCACTGGTCTTTTTCTATTAATATATTCATAGTATCAAATAGGTTCCAACTTCATAGTGATTAGACTATGACTTGGGAGCTCCTCTGTTGGAGGTGCTGAGAGCCAGAGAGCCAAGTATGTTTTTTATCTCAGAGTCAACACTACTGACTTCAGAGGAATCCCAAAAGAAAAAATCCTGTTGGAACAAATATTTTTTTAAAAAATTAAAAAAAAAAAAAAGTCCAGCTTTTAAGATTATAAAATAAGACCTATACTACATGTATATATTTAGGAACTTTCCCTGCAAGGTTAAGGACTTAGGCTGTCACATGTTTCCTCTTTCTCTTTCTAGGTCTGGAATTCTTATTTTAGCCTGGCAGTTCTGTTCATAAATCAGCCAAGCCTCCAGCTAGAAATTGTCACTTCAGCCAAGAGGAAGAAGATTCTAGATAAGTAAGACACATGTCTCCAATCACCTCCCTACCTCATGACCAGATGGGGTTATGTTTCCATGAAAGGCTGTATCTAGAAGTCTAAAAATTTCTCACCAGGATAGCTTCCCAAGGGGGCAAATGTGAGAATTCATTTGAGAGCCAAATGACTTAACATCTTGGGAAGCATTAGAAACAAAACAATTTTAAGTACTAGCCTCACTAGGTTTGCAGCCCATCTTCCTGAACCTTCTCCCACTAACATCTGGCCTCTGTGTTACTTTTCTCAGATATGGGGACATGCGTGTGATGATGGCTTATGAACTGTTCAGCATGTGGCAGAATTTGGGTAGGTCTTTTCACCTATTCTTTCCTTCCATATATTCTATAGCCAAATAAAAAGTGACAAGACTTCCCAGCTTCGATACACTTATTCTTTGCATCCAGCTGAGCTTTGGTATGGATTCTAATCCTGAAGTTAATTCTGAAATTCTGAGGAATGGAAGGGACTGTCACCTGTACCAGGTACCAAGATTGGAATATGCAGAATCAGTCTCAAAGCTAGTATTTCCTTCTTGGATAAGTTTCAAAATGAGAGAAATCAAATAGATGCCAGATTTGCCTGATAAAGCCATTCCCGCCTCGTTACTTTCTCAGGTTTTATGAATGTCGAGTCAGACCCAAGGGGTTTTTACATATTTTTAACATAACACCTCAGGTGGACAATGTAGGAGATGTACACAAAGCCCTTGCTTGGCAGGGCAAGTTTGGCTGAGAAATACAGCCCCAGCAATACATATGCACAGTCTCTTCTATGAAAATAAGAAGAGGAGGGCGCTACTAGTTTTTTCAAGTTTGAAAATTCATGCCTGGGAGATCTCTCTGCAATTTCTGTCCTGGGCTGGAAATTGAGTCTCAAAAGGGTAGATCTTGGAGATACCCAGCACATAATAAAGGATAGGTTTAGTTTTTAATAAAGTTTGAAACACTTACTGGTATTCAGGCATCCAGGTCAAGCACCTGACACCTGCTACATCAAGGAACACATGCTAAGGGAATTGCAGCCACTGTTTGAGGTTAATTTTGGCTTCCACAGATTCTCTTTGCAGATTCTCTAATGCAATTGCTTTTGGGTCTGAAATTCTCAGAGCAGTGGTTTTGACAGAATCCTTGGATTACCCTCAAGACTGAATGGGCCATATTGTGGTCCTCTAGGATTCTGAGTGACCTGTGGGGATACAAAGCTGCTATTACTGTTCTAGATGAGATTGGTTGTCAGCTGAGCACATGACTCTAAAGTCTTAGGAGTGATAATAGCAAAATCGTACAATCCTCCAGCCACCAACCTTAGAATCATCAAGCAAGTTGCAAGGCATCCCTGCTGGCACTAAGACACTCCATCCCTGAGTGGGGATGCGTTTTCCTAAGCAAGCTTCCCAGCTTCGATACACTTATTCCTTGCATCCAGCCGAGCTTTGGTATGGATTCTAATCCTGAAGTTAATTCTGAAATTCTGAGGAATGGAAGGGACTGTCACCTGTACCAGGTACCAAGATTGGAATATGCAGAATCAGTCTCAAAGCTAGTATTTCCTTCTTGGATAAGTTTCAAAATGAGAGAAATCAAATAGATGCCAGATTTGCCTGATAAAGCCATTCCTGCCTTGTTACTTTTGCTATAAATGCCATTTTCTGGTCCCTGACAAGTGGCTGTACGTGGAGATAGCTAGCAATCATTACACAGGCCCAAATTTTGTGTCCTTCTGAGTCTCTGAAGGATTGAAAATAGAGCTCCTGAAGATGGTTCTCTCAGTTTCATCGCTGCAAGGAAGAGAAAAATCCTGTCCAGTGGTCATCAGGGAGTCCCTAGGTGGTATAAACAGTTAATGCACTTGGCTGCTAACCAAAAGGTTGGAGGTTCAGGTCCAGCCAAAGGCATATTGGAAGGAAGGCCTAGCATTCTACTCCTCAAAAAATCAGCCATCAAAAACTCTTAAGGAGCCCAATTCTACTCTGATACACATGGGGTCACCAAGAGTCAGAAGTGACTCCAAAGCAACTGGTAACTGATATGGCCCTCAGGACTGGCCCTAGCTTCTGGAAACATATTAGAGGACTAGTCAAATGGCATGCCAGTCATATCACAACCAGTTTTCACAGAAAGGCCTCTTTAAGAAAGTTGAGGGATGAACTAAGCTAATCTGAGTAGGTGTAGTGATACCATCAGAAAAGCAGTATGAAGTCAGGAGGTGAGGGATGGCAAAGAAACAGACTTTTTCAGGGTCGGACTATGCAGGAGGCTCCTGATAACTCAGAAGGGGCCCTCTTGGGCATGCATGAGAGCAACCTCATAAATTCCAGACCTCTCATGGCTAGAGCAGGGGCTGGACATCCTTATCACTTATGCCTCTAAACTAGAGGTTGAAACCCGAGGGATAGTGTGTTGTGTTTAAGGAGAAATATGTGGATTTCCTTGCTAAATAATCGCTCTGACAGACTATCAGAAAAGACTGGGAGTTACTCAGAAATCCCATTCTGTTAAGAGAATTTTGTTCCTTGACTCCAGAGAGATTTCCAGGTAGTTGTTCCTGGGAGCAAGTTCTTTGAAAAGACAGTTTTGTGCCTATTGAACATTTGCTTTAACGGGACTAGGCCCATTTCATCCATGAACTCTAAAAATTAGCCAATAGATGGAGTATCACAAAAAGCCGTAAGAGAGAACTTGTTTTGCTATCAGAAGCTTCCAGTGAGATCATAGCATGTACTGTGGCCCCTCTTGGGAAGGAGCAAAGCAGGCATGAACTAACCTCTGTTGGGTTTTATTGTTCAGGTGAACATAAGATCCACTTTATTCCGGGAATGATTGGTCCTTTTTTGGGTGTGACACTGGTCCCACAGCCAGAAGTGCGGAATATCATGATCCCCATCTTTCATGACATGATGGACTGGGAACAGAGGAAAAATGGCAACTTCAAACAGGTGAGATGGTACCTGGCAGTGTTTATGGTGCTCTACCCTGGGATATGCCCCTTCTGTTCAGGCAGGTGGTCCAGGTGGCCAGGCCCTGATTCCAGTGGGGATGAGGTATGGCTTGGCCGTCTTGAATCCTGTTCAAGGTTATCCCCAACTTGCTGGCCTGAACTGAGTTATGGATTTTCTTAATGAAGTTAGAAGCCAGAAAAGAATAAGTAACACATGAAAGGAACTTTCTGATCAAGGAGAGGGTGACTGTAACTCTTGCTTCCCAACTACCTCAGAGGAGGGCCCCAGGAGCTTGTTTTTCTTCTTCTCATGAGGAGTCCACAATGTGATCCAGGCATTTCTAGGGCCAGAGACCAGACCACATGGGTCCTCATGGCTCAGGGTAGCCTAGGATTTCACAGGCTCTTGCACAGAGGGGCAGGTCCAGGAGGTGCAAGCGCTTGGCTTTTGCCTGGGTGGCTTCAGGCTGCCCTCTCTGCAGTTCCAATTTTAGCTTATAAAAGAAATAACTTGCTAGTAGCAAGAATTATACACATTTGGCAATACTGTTTGGGAGATGAGGAGTTCCTCTTTGCTGCTAGTCTTTAAGCAGAAATTCCCAGGAGGGCTCCAGGGGAATTTTCTGCATTAACTTGGGGATTGCACTGCTTATCCCTGTGATTCTCGATGAACCAGTGGTCTTAAAGTGGGTGACTGTAACAGTGAGGAGTAAACCAAGCAAACAGTAATTTTTAATTTTTTTTTAATTTACATAAAGTGAATTTCACTCTTTCTGATTTATAGTTTTGTGCATTTTGACAAGTACACAGTCATGTAATCACAGCCACAATAAAGGTTTTTTCAATTCCTGAAAATTCTGTCTTGCTGCCCCTTTGTAGTCAAGCATTCCCCTTACTGTTAATTTATGACAACCACTGATCTGTTTGCCATACTATATTGTTTTCTCCAGATTATCATATAAATGGAATCTTGTAAAGTGTAGCCTTTTAAGACTGGCTTCCTTCTCAGCACAATACCTTTGAGAGATTCATGCATGCTGTTGCATACTTCCATACTTTCTATTGCTGAGTAGTATTCCATTATATGGATATACCATAGTTCATCCATTCACCAGTTGAAAGACATTTGGATTAATTATTTCCACTTTTCAGTGATTATGAATATAGCTTCTATAAACACTTGTGTAGAGGTTTTGTATTAATACGTATTAAACTTTAATTTTTCTTGGGTAGATAACTAGGTATAGAATTGCTTGGTCTTGTAATTAATATATGTTTAACTTTATAAGAAACTGCCAAACTTTTCAAAGTGGCTGTACCACTTTGAAGTCCCACAAGCAGTGTATGAGAATTCTAGTGGCTGTGCAACCCTACAGCTCTTAGTGTTATCAATTTGTTTTTTTATTTTAGCCATTTTAATAAGTATGTAAGGGGCTCTGATGGCATAGTGCCTAAGGCATTTGACTGCTAACCAGAAGGCTGGCGGTTCAAACCCACCAGCCACCCTCGGAAGAAAGGTTGGGCAATCTACTTCTGTAGAGATGTTGTTGTTGTAGTTGTTATGTGCCGTCGAGTCAAACCTGACTCATAGCGACCCTTCCTTGGGTTTCCAAGGCAGTATCACTACGAAAGTAGGATTGCCTAACCTTCCTTCCAAGGAGTGGCTGGTGGGTTTGAACCACCAGCCGTCTGGTTAGCAGGCAAGTGTCTTAGCCACTATGCTACCAGAGATACCACCTCGGAAACCCAAGGAGAGGTCGCTATGAGTCGGATCCCGCTTGACGGCAGTGAGTTTGGTTTGATTTAGTTCTATCTGTTGTTATTTTAATTTCCCTAATTAGTTATTTCCTTAGCGATTAAGGCTAATGATGTTGAGCATCTTTTTATGTGCTTATTTATCGTCTTTCTATATTCCTTGGTGAAGTATTCTTAAAATCTTCTGCCCATTTTTGATTGGGTTGTTTGTTTTCTTAGTGTTAAGTTCTGAAAGCTCTTTATATATTCTTGATAGAAGTCATTTGCTGAATAGGTCATATTCAAATATTTTCTCTCAGTCTGTAGTTTGTCTTTTCATTCTCTAAACAATGTCTTTCACAGAACACAAGTTTTTTATTTTTATGAAGTTTAATTTATAAGTATTTTTCTTTTATGGATCCTACTTTTGCGGTCATATCTAAAATGCCAGGGCTAGTATTCGCCTATGTTTTCTTCTAGAAGCTTTATAATTTTACATTTAGGTCTGCAATCCATTTTGAGGTAACATTTGAATAAGGTATACAGTGTGGGTCAAGACTTGTTACTTTGCATATGGATATCCAATTGTTCTACCACCTTTTATTGAAAAGGCTGGACTTTTTCCTTGAATTGTGTTTGGACTTTTGCCAAAATTTAGTTGATCATATTTATGTGGCTCTCTTTCTATTGATGCATGTGTCTACTCTTTCACCAATACCACATTGTCTTGATTATGTTAGCTTTATATTTAGTGTTAAAATTAGATAGTGTAAGTCCTCCAACATGTTTTTCCTTTTTTAAAATATTCTGTTAGCTTTTCTAATTCTTTTTCCTTTTCCTATAAATATTAGAATTTGCATGTCAATATCTACAAAAATTCCTACTGGAATTTTCATTGGGATTGCATTGAATCTATAGATTAAATTAGGAAAAATTAACATCTTAACAATATTGAGTCTTCTAGTCCATGAAGACAGTATGTCTCCATTTTTTAAAATATTCTTTGATTTCTTTATCAATGTTTTTCAGTTTTAGCATACAGATTCTATACATATGTTGTTAGATTTATATGTAAGTATTCCCTGGAGTTTGGTACTATTCTAGATGATTCTGATTTTTAAATTCTGTTTTCCAGTTGTTCATCGGTAGTATAAAGAATTGCAATTGATTTTTGCATATTGACTTATCTTGCATCCTTGCTAAGGTAACTTTTCAGTTCTAAGAGCTTTTTTGTAGATTCCTTGGGATTCTGTATAGGCAGTCATGTCGTCTGCATATAGGAAGAAACAGTTTTATTTATTCCTTTTTAATCTGTCTGGCTCTTACTTATTTTTCTTGCCTTATTGCATTGGCTAGGACCTCCACTATGTTATAAATAATGGTGATAAGAACAGACATTTTTGCCTTGATCTTGATCTTAGGGGGAAAGCATTTAGTCTTTCACCATTAAGTACAATCATCTTGTAGTCTTTTTAGAGATGCTCATTATTGTAAATATATACCATTTAAGATAAGAAATATTTTTAGGAGTGTATATCTCTAATGCTTATGTAACTATGGAAATAATAACTTCAAACAGAAAAGAACTATTGCTTTTTTGTTTTGTCCCAACCTGTGCCTTCTAATTGTGTGCAATGCATAACTACCTGATGAGCTATTCAGTTACCAAGAAGTGGGTGACATTGCAGAACTGTACTGTGGGTCATCTGAGTCTACTGAAAAAGAGGCTGGACTGCATCCCACCATCACTAATACTGAAAGAGGTTGAGCTTTGTGGAAGATTAAGCTGGAGCTCTTTTTGTCACGCATTTCAAGACTCAGCTGATAAACTGTGTTCTTTTCCCCAGTATTCCTTGCCTGAATTAGACTATCGTGAATAATTAACGTTCATCAAGCCAAGTAAACCTTGGTTGTCCCTGGTTATAAAAAGTGCTATTACTTCCTTTGCCATCAAATATGTTTAAAGAGTGACTTAATTTTTTTATCCCCACATCTCTACTTTCCACCCTCCCATCATTTCAGCCTAGTATAACTTCTGTACACACCTCTGTTGAAACTGCTCTCTTGAAGGTCATCATAACATTCTAGTCACCAAAATCCAGTGATTTTTTTTGGTCTTGATCCCAACTGTGCTTCCCACAGCTTTGGCTACCCCACTACTTCTTACTACTTAAAATACTTTTTCCAATTATGAAAACAATGCTTATTTAATTTAGAAAAATTAAAAATGCAAATAAGCTATAATGAAAAAAATTGGACCTGTCATATTACCATTGTTAATAGCTTAGAGGGCAGGATATGTATTTTTTAGACTTTTTCACTACATGGAGTTTTTGGGGGTTTTTTTATAAAAATAAAATCATTGTATATATTGACTTGTAATCTCCCCTTCTTAGGAGCAAAATCATCACTATCTCTTCATATCAATTAATGTTCCTCTATACTATAACATCAGGGAGCTCTGGTAGCATAGTGGCTAAGGCACTTGACTGCTCACCAGATGGCTGGCGGTTCAAACCCATCAGCCACTCCCCGGAAGGAAGGTTGGGCAATCCTACTTCCGTAGTGATACTGCCTCGGAAACCCAAGGAGGGGTCGCTATGAGTCAGGGCTGACTCG